GTATACGTACATATGTTTATTCATGTGCCATTCTCCAAGCGCCTGAGTGCTTCTCGTTCCGACTTGACCGTTTTTTTCTCCGGCGATTTGTCGTACATCGTCAGTACGCCAGATGACGTTATTAAATCACTGATTTCTCTCATACTCTGTGCTAACAGTATTGAAAACTTGTCCGCGATCGGACCATCATCGTCCTTCTCGTTCTCTACTAGTGCTGTGTGTAATTGTCTAAACTTTGTGATATGTGCGCTTGACAGATTGACCGGTGTACGCGCTCCTTTCAACGCGTAGACTTCTAAAAAGTCTCGCATTTGCCAACCCAGATTAGATTCTTTCATAGATGTGCCTGGGTCGCGGCTGTTCAGCGCGGCTAACAAGGGGTATCCATCGTACAAGAACGCAACATTTTCGTCACAAAATTGAGACTGGGCACAACTCAATAGTATTGGATACATTAATGGGTCCACCAGTATATCCCTGAGCATATCATCGGATGCCAATGGCACTTGGCTGTCCGCAATTTCCCCTTTCCACTGCATGTGCGTCTGGAATGTATACCATAGAGTTGGGCCCAGGATCTCGATCATATAACCCCACAGAATTATAATCGTAGAGTTAAACTGATCGATTGGCCTCGCCACGGGATCAAGTAAAGGTAATACAGTAGTGACAATGACAAATGATAATCCTCCGTAGCAGCAAAGATAGAGTAAAGGTAGATAGCTCTCTTTTGCATATCTGGTGTTGCGCAGCCTGACGATGTAGAATAAGGTTTCCGCGATCAATAAGACGATCGCTAAACGCAGCCCTACACCAGATATCCAATGAACACTTTCGGGTCCCAATTGTGCGAAGTAGAATAAGTATACGATACACATTTGGACTGCTATTCGCAACAGCACCCAGCCATACTTGATATCGTATTTGCCCCGAAAATAGATACTATACATGACGCATAGCCTGGTTAGTGGGGCATACAATACCCATGAGACAGCAGATACTTCAATAGCTGAAGCCAATGTTTCCGTGCCCCGATTTTCGCCAAGTTCTATATAGTATATAAAGTAGAGCTGCCGCATAAGAGAAATTAAGGGTACCAGTATGCTCGCTAAACAGAGATGCAATAGGAAAGGAGGAAGCAGCGACCGAAAACGTGGCTCGTTGTGATGGTAATATACATACACAGCCACAGCCGTCGCGGTCAACGTGGTGAGGCTAGTAATCACCACAAAATAAGATATCAATAATGCCCTGTGTTGGCTAGCGTACTTTGAGAATTGGACTAAATCATCGTCTGAAGCGTCCGACGTGTCAGTACCAGCGACAAGGTGCACGATATAGTAATGCGCACATATAGCGTACGCTATTGGTGTACACCACGCGATAGCTCTGACTATTTGTTGCTTGCAATTTCTATATGATTTCTTAGCTTTACTCGTAGTACTGAATTGTGAACCGCGGTGGACCAATGTCTTACACCGTTTGTTCTTCGTGCAGTTTCCGGCTGTGTTTGTGTTTCCATCCCGAATCGCACCGTCAAGGTGTGATTCGTCTATCTGCGAACCAACTGAATCTCGTTGGGTCCCAATATACATGGCATTCGCTCCATCAAGTGAAGGCGAGAGAGAGAAACCATGCCCTACTTTCGATGGCTGTTCCATAGTGTTGGAATGATTGATCTTGGTACTGTAAACGTAGACATATATTTCTATGTTTTTTTTCTTAAATGTTAAAACACTACAGAATGTGAATATTCTGTAAGACTGTAACAGGGCGACATTGTGTACTGTGCACTTTGCAGTTGTGAATAAATACCTTTGTGTTTTATTATTTTTTAAATTTAGGGTTATTTATGTATTTATGTTGTTTGTTTTTCTAAAGAAGGCTATGGAACATAATTTTTTTTTAAATAAAACTGAATCATATGTAGCCTTCAAATTAAAGACTGAATATTTACATATTTTCATATTTACCCCTTTTTTTAAAAACAAAAAACAAACAACAAAATAACTACTGTTATGTGCATGACGTCAGACAGTTTTTCAACCCATGGTTTTTCGGAGGAGCAATAAACCGAATGGCAGCTGTCAAAAGGGATGACGAATATGTCAGAAAGGCGTTGTCAACCATGACAGGGTTTTAGTAAACCCTAAAACCCTAAAAACCATGACAACCACTGAATGAGTTCAGTACTCCAGGAGTAGCGGGTTCACAAATGAGAGTCGTTTATTGGTGAGTAATGAACTATTATATCCTACTGGTGGAGACCGTTGTAGAAGATGGGTTTTGATTGAGTATAATTCTCTTTGAAGAAGAAGCAAGACAATAATTCCGAGGATTGGGAAAAGTTGTATAAATAAGGATTGAAAGTAGATGTAAGAAAGCATGTGTTCTAAGGTTAACATCTAGTTTACTAAACAAATTATAAAGAAGGTTTTTCAGTTTGAGTAATAGAGCTTACTCCAAATTTTTTCTTGACTTTGTAGCAATCGTATCCTGAGCGCAGAACACTACTGTTTTGTTTTGTATTTTAAAAAATATACATTTTCATAGCCTTCTAAATTTTCAAAAAGACAAACAAACCAAAAATAGAACAAATCAGGCAAAAACTAAATAAAAACTAAATAAAAACTAGAAGCCAAAAAAGTTTAATACACAACAAAAACCTCAGTTCTGACTTCTGAGTTCATATCTGCATATTTATTTAAATACTCCTTACTGCTTCATTTGTTTCCTTTTCAAAAACAACAAAATAATATATATATTTTTATATAAATATTTCAGCCCCAATTTTAACCTGCTTCATTTGTTTCCTTTTCAAAAACAACAACAACAAAAAAAAATTAACCAAAATATTTCAATCCCAGTTTTTAGGACTCGAAGTCCAACTAGGTTTAGAACCACTAACAGAGTTTATATATTGTTAAACAGGTTTTGACAAAAACTTCTTTTACCTAACAACGGACATCCAAAATACATGTCTCTTGAATTACATAGTATATATATTTGTGTCCCAAATATAATAAACAATAGTTTTTACTTAAAGTGATTTCTTGGTCTATTAGGTTATGGGCTTTATTTACCCTGACTAACTCTCTATCAATATGAACGTGGATAATACAACTACCGTAGTTTCCACAAATGGACTCAACTTGACATCGATGGCCGCAATCATGATCTCTGGCTTTCCAATGTATTTGTTGCTCTCTCTGCCGGCACGAAGGACGCTCTACCTGTCCTTCAATTCACTCAAGATGGCTAACCCGCTGCTGCTCCTGGTCTAACTTCCATTGTCTACATACCCGCTGTCAACCAATTTTGAACAACTGTAAAAATACGGCCTCCGGCCAATCTAAATTATCAAGATCAAATGAGATAACGTATTGGTTTTTATTTCTATTTAAAATAATTTAATACAAGTTCTTTTTCCAATATTTACAAAGTGTTCTGAATTCACTTTGATGGCTCCAATAGTCTGAGTATTTGGTATGACTCATTTATTAGGACCTATTTGAGACGATAGTAGATGTAGGATATTATAAACTAAATTTTATAATCTCTGAACTACTACTTACAGGTTTTGGTCTTCCCGCCAATCTCCAAAATCCAATAAGTCTTTTTCTTTTTTTAAATTTTCCTAAGATGGAACTTTATTTATATTGGCTAATGTAGTAACTTGACTTACGTTATTATGTCTATCTACAAATTAGACATGTGGTCGTGAACACTTAGTACTTCTAGTGAAATTTATTTAATAAAGAACAGCTAGATGTACGTCCTGATTGATCGAGGATATTAAAGGCTCTTACCAAGAGGCAGTCCCGATCATTCTTACACAAGCTACCACTGCTAAATCCTAACTGACTTAATTTGTATCTTAGTTTATATGACATAGTTTAAAACATAGAAATATCCATCGAAGTTTACACAGCCAACTTTCGAACCACCAGCAAGGAAGATGAATTGTATCATGCTGCTCGCCGTATCCTTTTCAATTATTTGACCACTGAACTTCATCACTCTCTTCAAGCCGATGAACTCATGTCTGATCCATGAACACTGTTCCAAATTATCCGTTCCATGTTCTTCCACCAATCTGTTGCTATCGCTAAACCCATCACCCTCAGACATCTTGAACAGTTCAAGCGTGGTCATGATGAATCTATGCGTGCCTGGTCTCATCGCTGTACTCGTCTCAGATGTGAAACTTCTTGCCAAGGTAATATGTTGACAAATCAGTTTATCCAGGATGCCTTTATCTCTGGCCTTAGTCTGAAATAATCCCAAGAACATGATTGTCAGTTACTTCTCACTCATAATCGTGATAATGTGACATCCACTGATATTTGTGAATGGATTGAAGCATGGACAAACTGACTCTTTGCAAATGGCTGCCCCTGAAACTGTGTCATTTACTCGCAACAAGCCTATTCCTTGTCGTTCGGCAAGCCTTGATTATTTTTTTTTCAACTGAAACCCGTGAAGAAAATCATTGCTCGAAATCACTCCATTCCTCGTGACCGTGATTATCACTCACGCAATAGTACTCTAGGCACTCCTCCTCCATGTTTAGTATGTTGGAGCACTGACCACTTTGCTAGCTCGAACGGCCTACAAGATAATGAATATACTCTATCCTACCCTTGTAAACATCGATGGAAATTACTAGGTTTCAAACTATATTAAACTAAAATACAACTTAGTCAGTTAGGATTTAGCAGTGGTAGCTTGTGTAAGAATGATCGGGACTGCCTCTTGTTAAGAGCCTAAATATCCTCGATCACACAGGGCGTACCTCTAGCTGTTCTTTATTGAATAATTTTCACTAGAAGTACTAAGTGTTCACGACCACATGTCTAATTTGTAGATAGACATAATAACGTAAGTCAAGTTACTACATTAGCCAATATAAATAAAGTTCCATCTGAAGAAAAGTTAAAAAAAG